ACCAACTCTATAACAAGTAGAGAAACTGATAGCGAACAGCATGGATCCTGATCAGACTGTGCGGATGCGCAGGCTGGTCTGGATCCATGCTTGTCGCAAACACACTATGTTGGTTTTGTCGTGACACGGCTCATATCTACTGTTCATGCTGCAAATGTTTAAAGAATCTGAAGTTCTTTTCTTGGAAATACTTGTTGAAATTAAAGTAAGAAGTAAATAAGTAAGATAGGTAAATACTGAGGTGTTTGAATTATTGATGAAACTAAGGTATTAAATTATTGTAGAACATACATTAATTAACTACTAAAACAATTATTGATTGAATGATAATAATGGTTTACTATTTAAGATCCATAACCCTTTGCTATTACAGAATCTTTAATGAATTTTTTCCAACCTACAATCTTTACTTTGTAGAACCTTACTTTAAATTATTGTACATAAGTAGAATATCTGTATGAAAAAAGGAATTATTTACAATTTTTTTTTGTAGAAGCTTGATTTGAAAAAGGAAAATTACAGGTTACTGAATTACAGGTTACTGTTGAATATCAAACATAATTACAAAGAATATCTTAAGTTAGAACTAGTCTTACACTACAGTGTTAATTAGTTAATATTTTATTTGTTGATAAGCCTTTGCCACAAGTATAAGAGCCAGGCCAGCGTAGGGCATCCTTGCAGTCGGAGCAGGCTGTAGACTGTTCAACTTTAAATTCTCATCTTGATATCCCCTAAATCTATAATGGACATATCCAAAAATGGAAGCAGGACAGGTCAGTTTAAGAAATTCACCAGGTGAAGGCCATTAAAGAACCTTGCATTAGGACCAAATCCACAGTTTTTAACATTTTTGCAAGAAAAACTATATTCTTCAATTTATTATTTAGAATATTTGAGTGATTATTTCTGGCAGCTATGAATTGTAACAGGATATTATATTCTCCCTGTCTGATAAAAGAAAATAACAAAAAAAAAACAATTATTGAAAGATTTAAGTATAGGATTTTACGAGCACGGGAACAGTGACATATATAGTTGTTAGTGTACATTGTTTATACTAGTACACAAATTGATCCGAATTCAATATAACGGTCATCGGAGATCACTATGACTAGTTGTGAGTGTTCTTTTCTGGACAAAACTGCGTAATTATATCTTGCGTTGTACTTTTACCCATTGATATTGTCTGTGAAATGGCGAAGGGGAAAACGTTTCTTACCAAATAAATGTGGATTTATGGGAAATATTTGTCTGAATATCGAATGTAAGTAACATAAGTTCACGAGGCTGTAATTTTATTTATTGGACAGTTGAATCGGAAATGAGGAGAAAAAGGAGTTAATGTTTGATTCTTAAGAATGTTTGTTGAGAAAACTGCAAGTAAAAGTTCATGTTGGTAAGTGTCTTTGCTGGTTTAATAGTATATTTTGAAACAAAATACTTGGTATTAGGAATATCTTGTTTGGTTACAGATGCTCTCTTTCCAACACAGCTGTAATTTTTTCATTTCATCAGCTCAAGTTAAAACAATGCTTCATTGAACCTTTAAGATAACAATCATTGAAAGTTTTTAATTTCATGTGATTTATAGCTTCTGCCAAATTAGCATGGTTGACATGACCTGCTGAATTTGTAAGGTTGACATGACCTGCTGAATTTGTAAGGTTGACGTGACCTGCTGAATTTGTAAGGTTGACGTGACCTGCTGTATTTGTAAGGTTGACGTGACCTGCTGAATTTGTAAGGTTTACATGACCTGCTGAATTTGTAAGGTTTACATGACCTGCTGAATTTGTGAGGTTGCTGTGACCTGCTGAATTTGTAAGGTTGATGTGCCCTGCCAAATTTGTAAAGTTGACGTGGTCTGTTGAATTTGTAAGGTTGATGTGACCTGCTGAATTTGTGAGGTTGATGTGACCTGCTGAATTTGTAAGGTTGATGTGCCCTGCTGAATTTGTAGGGTTGATGTGACCTGCTGAATTTGTGAAGTTGATGTGCCCTGCTGAATTTGTGAGATTGATGTGACCTGCTGAATTTGTGAGGTTTACGTGACCTGCTGAATTTGTGAGGTTTACATGACCTGCTGTATTTGTGAGATTGATGTGACCTGCTGAATTTGTGAGGTTTACGTGACCTGCTGAATTTGTGAGGTTTACATGACCTGCTGAATTTGTGAGATTGATGTGACCTGCTGAATTTGTTAGGTTGATGTTACCTGCTGAATTTGTGAGGTTGAAGTGACCTGCTGAATTTGTGAGGTTTACGTGACCTGCTGAATTTGTAAGGTTAACATGACCTGCTGAATTTGTAAGGTTTACATGACCTGCTGAATTTGTAAGGTTTACATGACCTGCTGAATTTGTAAGGTTTACATGACCTGCTGAATTTGTGAGGTTGCTGTGACCTGCTGAATTTGTAAGGTTGATGTGCCCTGCCAAATTTGTAAAGTTGACGTGGTCTGTTGAATTTGTAAGGTTGATGTGACCTGCTGAATTTGTGAGGTTGATGTGACCTGCTGAATTTGTAAGGTTGATGTGCCCTGCTGAATTTGTAGGGTTGATGTGACCTGCTGAATTTGTGAAGTTGATGTGCCCTGCTGAATTTGTGAGATTGATGTGACCTGCTGAATTTGTGAGGTTTACGTGACCTGCTGAATTTGTGAGGTTTACATGACCTGCTGAATTTGTGAGATTGATGTGACCTGCTGAATTTGTGAGGTTTACGTGACCTGCTGAATTTGTGAGGTTTACATGACCTGCTGAATTTGTGAGATTGATGTGACCTGCTGAATTTGTGAGGTTGAAGTGACCTGCTGAATTTGTGAGGTTGAAGTGACCTGCTGAATTTGTGAGGTTTACGTGACCTGCTGAATTTGTGAGGTTTGAAGTGACCTGCTGAATTTGTAAAAATTGATGTGACCTGTTGAATTTTTAACGTTGAAGTGAACTGCTGAATTTTTAAGGTTAAAGTGACCTGCTGAATTTGTGAGGTTGATGTGCCCTGCTAAATTTGCAAGGTTGACAAGCCCTGCTGAATTTACAAGGTTGACATGACCTGCTGAATTTGTAAGGTTGATGTGACTTGCTGAATTTGTAAGGTTGATGTGACCTGTTGAATTTATAAGGTTGACGTGACCTGCTAAATTTGTAAGGTTGATGTGACCTGCTGAATTTGTAAGGTTGATGTGACCTGCTGAATTTGTAAGGTTGACATGACCTGCTGAATTTGTAAGGTTGATGTGACCTGCTGAATTTGTAAGGTTGATGTGACCTGCTGAATTTGTAAGGTTGACATGACCTGCTGAATTTGTAAGGTTGACGTGACCTGCTGAATTTGTAAGGTTGATGTGACCTGTTGAATTTATAAGGTTGACGTGACCTGCTAAATTTGTAAGGTTGATGTTACAGGCTGAATTTGTAAGGTTGATGTGACCTGCTGAATTTGTAAGGTTGACATGACCTGCTAAATTTGTAAGGTTGACTTGACATGCTTTGAATTGGAGCAATCCATCATGAGTTAAAGGGATGATAAAAAACTTGTAGCCAACAGTATTGAGACAGGTGACACCTGGTTACAGATATGCAAGCCAGCGGGACTCAATAATGATGGCAAACATGTCAATGTGGCAACTAGCACTCTTTAAGTATATCCATTTAGAAAAAGCAATACACAATATAATACAAGTTTTTCTTAACCCGAACCTGCTGAATTTCAGTTTAATAATGGATTTGCCCAGTTCTTTGAATTTGGAAAAGTCCATTTTAAAATTTAAGGAATTTGAATATTAAAATACAAAAACTGAATGACTAACAGTAACACAGACTTGTAGGCTGGCCTGTGGCTCTATACTGGTGGCAGAAGTTTATCTCTTCTTTCAGTTTCTGCAGATTGAAGGGGTAACATTCTCTTTTTCCAAGTATGATAACAGTGAAAATCTAAACATTTTCTGAGTTATCATGTGATATTGTGATTCATTATGCATGTCATAGTGAATGATGAAAATGCAAAATGCCTTCCCACTAAATTGATGCATGAAATGGACACCTGTCATAAATATTGTAACAGGAGCAAGACATACCACCTACCAGTTGCTTGTTATTGGTTTATACTAATTTGATATCAAAAAAAAAAATCCCTCATCAATGACTATCCTTTCCTTTCATACTATATATATATAGTATTAAATGTATATTATTTTTTTTACTGTTTGCTAAATTAAGTTATCGAGATATTTTTGTCACAGATGTTTTTTGCAATATCTATACATTGATAGAATACCGGTAGACCAAATGTTATACAACATGTTTAGTACAATTGGAGATTGTCATCAAAGTAACGTATATAGAACATGCAATTAAAGTGTTCAGTTGTGACATATGTCCAAGGCTGTATCACTTACTGTATTGTACCTTGTTTTTAAGATTCAGTTTTGATATTGCTGTCATATAATTTGTGAACATAAATATGGAATTGTTCATTTTTGTATTTAGAGATGCTGTATGTAGCATGTCAAACTTTTCAAAGTATAACTTAAAATCAAACAGGCTAACCTGTGATTTCCAGTTTTCTGTCAGCTGTGTGGTACCCCTTCCTTAAACTTGCCTGTTTACAGAGTGACTCTACCTCAGAAACTGGCCATAACCATATGACTTCCATAGGCTGCCTTGTTAGATACATGAAGCAAAAAACAAAAAATAGTAAAAACTTAATTTAAATGCTTCTTTCAGTGTTACATTTTTATATTGAACTTCCAAAGACTGCCAGACTATTATTGTTGATTTGAGTTTTTTGTAAGTCATTGCCCTTTACAAGTGTTAACACTACATGACTGTATTGTGGTGCTCTTGGAACCGTATATCCCTTCAACTTACAAGGGATAGTAAGAACATACCTATTATGTGGGATAGTAAGAACATACCTATTATGTAAATTTTACAGAATAAAAAGTAACATACAATATTATTAATCATTTGAAACAATTGTGTTTTTACTTACAGATGTGATGACAGCTGATGAAGCAAAGACACAGCAGGGGTAAAAATGTGGAACATTACAAACATTCTTCATTATATTCACGTTTTTAGGTAGGTGAATGACCGATTGGGCAAAGATAAGGTTAATTAAATGATTTGTTATTGATCCTTTATATACAGTTCAATGTCAATATGTCTTGAATTTCTTGGTTAAATTAACATTAAGAAGAAAATGGGAAATGTCAGTCAGTTTATCTGTTCAATCATGACATATGGTGTCCTGAGGGCAGTACATGCAGATGCTGTATGTCTATTTCTTTTAATAAATGACTTTATTTTTGTATTTACTGATAAAGAAGCACCTTGTCTGTCTGCCAGTCTATTACTTATATGTTGATGCCAATAAGTGCATTCACTGTGTGATACTGTCATATAGGTCTAATGTCATAGTGTGTTGGTGTTATAGTGGTTTAATGTCATAGTGTGTTGGTGTCATATAGGTCTAATGTCATAGTGTGTTGGTGTTATAGTGGTTTAATGTCATAGTGTGTTGGTGTCATATAGGTCTAATGTCATAGTGTGTTGGTGTTATAGTGGTCTAATGTCATAGTGTGTTGGTGTCAAAATGGTTTAATGTCATAGTGTGTTGGTGACATATGGGTTTAATGTCATAATGTGTGTTGTTGGTGTCACAGTACTTAAATGTCATAGTATGTTGTTGTCACAGTGCTATGTCATAGTGTGTTGGTGTCTGCTACTAATCCCCCGCCGATAGATTGTTATGCCCCGCCGATAGATCGGGGGATATTGTTTTGGCATTGTCTTTCCGTCCATCCGTCCGTCTGAATTTTCGTTTCCGGACTACTTCTCTGCAACTACTGGCTGGAATTCAACGAAACTTTATGGGAATCTTCAATACCAAGAGGAGATGCGCATATCGTCGGCTTGTTCCGGTCCGACACTTAAACTCAGAGTTATGTCCCTTGATTAGTTATGCAGAATGCATATAGAGTAAAAATCGTTTCCGCGCTACTTCTCTGCAACTACTGGCTGGAATTCAATGTAACTTTATGGGAACCTTCAATATCAAGAGGAGATGCGCATATCCTCGCCTTGTTCCGGTCAGACACTTTAACTCAGAGTTATGGCCCTTGATTAGTTATGCAGTATGCATATAGAGCAAAAATTGTTTCCGCGCTACTTCTCTGCAACTACTGGCTGGAATTCAACAAAACTTTATGGGAACCTTCAATACCAAGAGAAGATGCGCATATCATTGCCTTGTTTGGGTCAGACATTTTAACTCAGAGTTATGGCCCTTGATATGTTATGCAGTATACAACAAGAGCAATAATTGTTTCCGTGCTTCTTCTCTGTAACTACTGGCTGGAATTCAAAGAAACTTTATGGGATACGAAGAGGAGATGTGCATATAGTCACCTTGTTCCGGTCAGACACTATAACTCAGATTTATGGCCCTTGATTAGTTATGCAGTATGCATACATCTCATTGGCATTTCCAGATATTACTATTTAACACAGAGTTATGGCTCTGTTATTGCCCTGAATATTTATTAAGTTCAAAGAATGTTACTGTTTATGCCATGATAAATATATAAATAAAGCCTTATGTCTTCAGTTGTTATGTTAGTAATAACCAGTACTCGGCGGGGGATATAAATTCAACGAATTTGCTTGTTGGTATTACATTCATACTGATTTCATTTCTTACAAAAATGGTTATTCTGTTTGTAAGAAAAGGCCATTCCATCCTCGCATTGAAAGATATATTTGTGGCCGACATTGTACTTTTATTTGCCAGGAAACTATAAAGTTCTCATATAGAAGGTCAGTTTCTACTAGAATGTCAGCTTGTCAGTGAGCTATAAGAAAGGCAGGTCTTATTTCATATAACCAAGAAATTAGTGTTGGTATGATTTAAACCTTACCAAAGCATTTTTACTGGAAAATGTTGATTTTATTTCTATTTTTGTTTCTCATTTTCAAATGAAATAAGAATAAAAGCATGGTTTCAAATTTTATAAAAGGTATATGTCATGAAATAAGTCAAAAGATAGAAAGAAGACTGAGAGACTGGCAATAGAGAACCATGACAACCAAATCGGAAATTATTCCCCAATTTGTCTAGATTGTGAACACTGGTGTTTGTTATGTGCTTTTTTCCCAGCCAGCCACTCTTCTTATTTTGTTAAGTGGTAGATAAAGGCTTGCAACTGTTGATCTTTTGCCAAGCCATGTAGCAGACAATTTTATATTTATAAACTTATTAATTGGATTGTATTTTGTGTAGGGTGATATATTAGTAACGTGATGGATTGGGACCTAAAATAGCGCATTTTGCCCTATCAGGGCGGTGCTCATTTTTCGATCAATATAATGAACTTTGGGAAATAGAATATCAACTGGAATTGTTTCTTACGATTGGGGTTGTAGCAGACGAGAACATGCGTCTATTCAGAATTTAAATGAGATTGGAATTGTCAAGATAAGGCTTAGATTATAGATTAAAGGCTCTACTATAAACTAGAATCATGAATTTTCCTAATATTTTTCTTCCCCGGAAAATGCTCTTTTAAATGTTGAATATGGAAATTTAGGGAAAAAAGCTGTCCGTGTTTAATTACAGACTTTGTGGAACCTTGTTTATGGAATTGATTGAAATGATGTGAATGGCCAGTCAAGAGGGCTTCCTGTGGTAGAAAGTTGTTAGTATTGCCCTGTAAGTTAGATAAATGTGTTTCTGTACATTAAACTTTTATGCATACAGTTCCTGGGTTTTGCAGAAATATTTCCATTAAGAAAGTTGATGATGCTTACATTGTTTCCTTGTATTCTTGGTGATGTAGAAAGAGTACAGACCCAAATGTATGTGAACAGCCATATTGGTTTTTCCTCAATTATGATGTCACATGACAAAAATGTACTAAAAATAGTTATTCGCAAAAATGGCCAAAGAAGGCAAGATCATCATCTTGGTTATTATATTTTACCCAAAATAAGTAGATGTTGACCAAGTTATCAGGGGTCGTCGTAATCCTAAACATGTACTGTATGTTTTATGGCAACTTCTGACATTCAGGAAAGCTTTATGTTTTACTGTAACCACGAGACTGTCCTGTATGGCAGCCTAACCAGTGAGAGTGCTTTACCCCTATGACGGGATTAAACCTACTCAGGAGGCGTGTGAAACAGTCTGCAACTTTGACAACATTTAAATAGTTTAGTACTTGTCCCTTAACTATGCAAATGTTTCTCTGCTTTAACTTCCATAGTAATGTTATTTTCTGATTTTCATTACAGATTTTTTTCTGATTTTAGGAATGTTGGATTGGTGTACCATAAATGTGCAAAGTGACTCCTACGCCGTTTGTATTGAGTGTTTCAGATGAAATGATTATGTACCTGGTTGCCATTAGATTTAAATTAGCTCAAAGAACAAGAATTAAATAGGTAAGTTCTCATTAAGTCAGATCTTTGCTAATCATATTCTGCTATTATAACCATATTAAATTAATACAAACAGCTGATTGATTGATGAAGTGCAATCTATATTTAAAATCTGTGTCATACATGACTTGAATTAATGCAAGTAGGAGAAATTTGATGGATTGGTATTGTTAAATCTATTTATAATTCCATGTCATAAATATTTGACAGTTTCGAGGAACTCCTGGCAAAGTGCCAATTAGGCTAATGATATATGAATGATCACCTCCTGAATTCTTAATAATAGACTTGCCCAACTTCCGTTATGGAATGGTTCATTATCAATTTTGGGAATATCAAGATGGTCAGCTAACAGTATAGAGCCTGGTCAGACTGCTGATAGTTGATTAAAACTAGTATTTGTAGAATAAGACCATGCAGACTTTATGGAACAAGTTCTGTGTCTGGTCAAACAGCTAAACAATATACTGTCGCTTCATTATAGATATCCGACTGTTACCGCTGAAAGATTTAAGCAAAAATAATATACACAATGTATTGAAATCTTGATATTTATAAAAGTACATGCTACTGCCACTGCTACAGATTAACAAATCAATGTCTCTATGAAGAATTCACAATTAATACAGGGAATTTTCCATATTTCATTTTACAAAATATTTGTTCACGTCAGCCTGTCTGCGGTAGGTAAACTTTTATTGCTGTGTTTTAAGATAGGATACTGGTAGTTAAAGCATTTTAGGTAACATGTATTGTTATGGTCTGTTTTGTTATGAGGGACTTGAGATAAAAAAATTGAATAGAAAATATGTAACATGTTTGAAGAAGTTGAAATTTGTGTCATCAAAATTTTGAGCTTACCAGAGCATTATAATATAGTGCACAGAGGTCAGTTATTGGGACCGGTTAGTTGTCTGTTGTCCATTGTGGACCTTTCTGGTGTTAACAGTTTTATGCTGAATGACCGGTTAGTTGTCTGTTGTCCATTGTGGACCTTTCTGGTGTTAACAGTTTTATGCTGAATGACCGGTTAGTTGTCTGTTGTCCATTGTGGACCTTTCTGGTGTTAACAGTTTTATGCTGAATGACCGGTTAGTTGTCTGTTGTCCATTGTGGACCTTTCTGGTGTTAACAGTTTTATGCTGAATGATGATTCAATCTGCATACTTTCCCTACACCTGAATGCTAAAGTGAGTTTTATAACATGACACCCCTTGTTTTCCATGTGATATAACTTTTATGTATTTCTATATATTACACATATAATTACACATGTAATTATATTATATGACATTGTCATGAAGACATTTTAGCCTAAACATTTCATAAAAAAACAAAAAACTATTCAGTTCCAAAAGCATTAAAATAAGTTTATTTCCATTAATTTCAATGTTTTAGTCATGTGACTAACATTAATTGTCACAGATTGTCATGTTATATAAAATCGTGCTAGAAAATTTCATAAAGCGAGCCTCTAGCTTTTTTAATCAAATTTTATATTGTATGACAACACATATAAGAGCTTGTATGTATCATATTGTGGGGGATACTATTAATTCAGCAAATTTTTCTTGTTTTTTTTTTGTGAAGCTGACTATGAATTGGGCTTAGGGGATATTACGGTTTATAAAAAAGTTACACATTCTTATAAACAATAGGCAAAATAAATGATAATATTCTATCAAATAATCTTTTTTTTAAAAAGAAAACAATAAGGAATGTTTCAAGAGGTTTTCATGTGCATGGCCATAAAACAGCCATAAAAGTAAGAGAATGGCACTGGAAACAGAAGATTATGTAACTTACACACCTAGCTAAAAGCTTCACAGTATCGAGGGATTCTTTTTTTGTCCTGTTCTCTTGATATAGAGACGAGTTAATATGGGAATAAAGAATCGAAATGCCTCTTATATCCCCATCTATTTGCAGGAAAAAACGCACAAAACAATTAAGTATATTGTTCTGTACCTCCTCAACCAATTTTCTATCATGAATTCCCAAAAAATATCGATCATATTTGAAAAATTGCTGACTTGGCTATTTTTATTCCAGTAGATTTAGGTTAATGTCAAATATTTTTGCATAGACCGGCCTCCTCTTTTATTAAATACTGTATTTTCCCAAACTTTTCTGCAACAGTTCAATATTTTGCAGAGTCAGCAGTTTTGATATATGATGCTAAAATAGCCATATTTTGCATATGAATATATAAAGCACAGGATGTTTTATGGAGATATCAAGAAGGCACGATCGTTGTTGAGGGATTTCAGGATAGAACAGGACTATGCAAATGAAAGTCTGCACATCATTGTTTCATTACAGTATCGATCATGGACATGAAAACCAAACTCCACTTCGACTCTCTGCTCTCATTTTTCTCATAAATTCAAGCATCTTTGCCGAACTATCTTTGAAAGATCTCGAGCTATGTTGTCTTTAAGAATAAGAAAACTCTGATAGGAAATACTTAATATGCAGATCCATAAATAAGCGTCTCTATTACATGGAAATGTACGGGAATGAGGCGAACAAAAAAAAAATGAAATTTGGCTCCAAAACTGAGGCAGCAATTTGAGTGTTTGCCATCATTTAGTAATTCCCTCATCTCCCCTTCCAAACATGTTAATAATAATAAGGGGAAACATGAATAAAAATGGTAACTGAATATTGATCCATTGAATGGTTATCATAAAAAAAGTCATGGAAATTTTAATCAATTAAGAATGTGTCTGTTGATTCCAATATTTCTGGCAAAGTATTCATATTTATTGAACAGGGATATTTATCTTAAAAATTTGTGGAAATTTATGGTGAAACTTTTATCTTTATTTTCTTTGACACAAGTGAAATTTTTTTAACATAAAGAACAATTGAGCACCTCGAAGCACTAGAAAAAACATTGTTTTTGCACACAATTTGCTACTTTATGAATATTCTACCAAGTAAAGACATTATAATACCATTAATATAGATGAACAAATTTCTGCAACTACTTCTGCACCGACTTCATAAAGTAGGCCTGATCGAAATAATGTTGATTTTGAGTGTTACAGACGTAGAATATATAATAAAATTGTTTATACAAGATGAACTGGTTTACAAACAAGTCTAGCCAATGTCCGGTAATCACCAATGATAGAATTATTCACAATGATTGTATTTCAATTCCTGTAAATTACTTTGTCGTGCAAAGTGGAAACGTTTCAGAGGTTACAGCAGGACAAATTGATTGTCTGGGACTATTTATTTGTGTCATTTTTGTCAATAGCAAAATAAAAAATAAAAAAAAAAATGAAAATAATAGTAAAATTATCTTGAAATTACATTTACCCTTTATCTGCTAAACTTGTAAAATGTTATTTGTTGAACTGTTTCTTAATAACTTAGGAAATATGAAGATGAAAAGTTAGTAGTCCTCCAACAGTAGAGAGCCAGGTCAAACAGATTAGCCTTTCAACATAACTTTGCAGTCTGACCAAACTCTATATTGTTGTTTGGCCAGCTTCAAATTTTCATCTTAAAGTTATGAAAGTTGATTACGAAAACAATTCCACAAAAATGGACGATGAACCATAGAAGACATTCGGCAGAATAAAGGTTAAGCACATTAAGGAGAAACTGATTTGTAAGCTTCAAAGCAATTTTGAAAGTTTTGTTTATTTGCCTGGTTTAAACATCAATTTTAACATATTTTTGGTCGTAAGCCGGTGGTCGGTTCTGACCTTACTGGCTTTCCTGGATAACTAACCAGTAGTTGCGAAACTGACTGACTACAAATCACACATGATTTCTAATTTTGGAAGTTGTCATGTTAAATCTTTCTAATGTTATGGAAGATAACAATTGTCTATTCTTATGAATAACAGTTTGATCTGCTTCTGTAACGTATGCTGAACAGGTTTATTATTTTTCATTTGTAAGTTGATGTTACTTGACCATACTACGTAAAGTTCAAAGAAGGGCAGGTCCTAAAATAATGATGGAAAATGAGCCGAATATAGTCTCTTAAAATAGAAAAATGGTGTTTGAAACACCATGCATTAAATGCCTTCATATCTAAATATGTGAAGAACTAGTCAATGTGATCTAATTATTGACTTATATCTGTTAAAACTTTGCCCGCCACATATTGACAAAATTTATTCATTTTACTATGAGTTTCAATGACTAAACATAGTTAATTTTAGATAACTGACGTCAGAAAAATCAGAGCTGACAATTTTTGACCAGGTCACAATGGTTCTGTTAATTACTACTATAGAAAGTAAACCAAAGTTATTGCCAGTGAGATTTTTCTCGTATTGATCAGCCTTGCCAATTCAATCAGTCATTTTGTGTGATGGTATCATTGTATAATATGTTTATTACTTAACAGTAATTTAACGAAAATTGTTGTTTCTTAAAGATTTATTGATATATAAATTGTCAAGTCAATGTCAAGTAGGATAATTAAAGTCTGAGGGGTATTGGAAACATACTGGAATAAAATTGATTAGATGAACCAAGGGTTTAGGGGGTTACAGTTACATTTAGCCCTATTACCACAGTCCTGATTTATTACAACGAATATATATATCCATTAAATGATCTGGTTACAGGCAGCCATTTTTAAGTATATTGCATTACAATATTACTCCCCACAAATCAAATACTCACTCATTGTTTTGTGCTTCGCCATTCTTACAGACATCAAATTACGTTGTCAATATCATCCGATGAAATTATTATATTGTGGAGGCTGCTTTTCACGTGGGATATAAACCATCGCCCCACCACTGTACATTACTGTATATGCATTATTATTGATATTTATCAGAAGCAACAAATTCCATCGTAGTTTAGTCCCAGGATAAAACTGCTCTACACAATGTTGGAAACGAACAAAACTTGCATCTTTTTTTTTTTTGCTTCGGTCTTCAATTCATTGATGAAACTTAAGCATTTTGAGATGTGTTTTTATCTTTATTAATCAAACAGGAGTTGATTAGTTTATTTTCTTGCCGGAGAACATGTTCTGAAAATGTGACCAATCTACAAGTGGGAAAACGGTTCTAAAGGATGATATTTTTAACTTCTTTTTTTTTTTATTTCATGTATTTTCATTATTGAAATGTGACATCTGTTTCGTTGTAGGTTATACATAAGATGATCAATAGACTGATAGAAAAGAAAATTCATCTAGAAACAGTAAATTTTTCTGGAATAGGATTTTAGAAATTTTTGTGTGAGCATCATCAGAGAGGATTCAGAGATAAAAATTCTGTTACAGGGAAAATGACCAAAAATGAAAAAAAGAAAAGGTAAGGATTTTTTTTTAATTAAATATTTATTTTCTCTCACATTTGATTCCTTTAGATGTATTTTTGAGTTTTATAATAATAATAATAATAATAATAAGACTTTATTTAATGAGAGAACTCATTTGAACAAACATATCAATCTTCCATGAGGCTCTCAAAGAGTTTTAAAGAGTCTTTGAAACAAGACTGAATGCCGGATGAATTTGAAAAAAAAAATCAGATTGTGTTTGAATTCAAAATGTTTATTTCAGCAAATTTTCCGTTTTTCAATGATTTTCACGGGTGTTCTTGTGTTAAACCTTAGCCTGCTGGTGGCTACAGATTCTTCTAACCATGTGAACTGTACAGACCCAGATCAGCTGCACCATTTGATCATTGTCAATGTTATGTTTACTATTTAGTCAATACTTATGTTGATATTTTACCCTAAAATGATATATGGTTATGTCCAGATTAAAAGATAGACAAGTCCATTTAAGATATTTAGTGTTGTAATTTTTAAAAAAAGATTATCTGAATGGTACCATTCACTTCTAAACTATAAACTTTTCTAACCAGAAATGAATGAATTTGAATGTATATTGATTTATGTTAGAAAAAACATTATTCTTATTCATTAAAAACATAGTCTCAGTTGTGATATTCTAATATACAGTTATTAATGTTATTAATCTTCCATATTTATTTTTAGTTATTCCAACTTCAACTCTTGTCCCTCTAAATTTCTCAAATGGTCCAGCTTTCAATCTGTACAAAAATATCATTTTAAGGGAAATTTTGTTAGTAAGTTCTGACTGAATAGCAAACAGTGCAGACCAACCCATGATCAGACTGCAGGTAGACTGTATATATGTGCTGGCTGATCTTGGTCACTGGCACTGGTTCGCAGCAGACGCAGGGTTAATGTCTTGTCACTGATCCAAATGCTAATGCTTTCAGCTTTGTAATAAATGATTTAAAACAAGATTGTTTGAATTCTGAAAGAACCGTTGTTTAAGACTATCCTCACCAAAGTAGGTTTCGGTCTTGCAAGCAACATTGAATCCTTTCTTAAGAGATTTGAGCTAATCAGCTAGCATGCAGAAGGGCAGTGGTTGTACTGAGGTTGCCTTCTTGTGACTAAAATAATGCATCTGAGGGCACCTGAGGTCTTCTGGAGTCTACCAGTCAAGGTGAAAAGTTGCCATTTGACTTTTACTGTATTACTTAGACCTAAAGTTTAACCTGAGAAAATTGTGTACAAGGTCAAATTTATTCTTCAGAATTTGAAAGTATTGATGTATGGCATTAAAACTAGTTTATAACATCTTGACTGAATGATTTAGGTAGTTGGCTAAAAATCTGTTGTTTCCTGTTACTGTTGGAACACATTTTTGTAAGATTCCAGGATATTCCTATTATAATTGCTAAGAAAAAATAAGAAACAGATTCCACCCGTGAATAGAAGGACACTTTATGTTAACTTCACATTGAAAGGGGTAAAAATTGCCAAAGTTGCAAAATATTGATGCTGATAAAAAAGTTGATGGCAATTTCGGGAATTTTGTCTTTTGAACAGGCATATGATTTGGTATGCTGGTTTTTGTGAAGTGCTTGTTTTGTTGCTTGACGAAGCTACTATACACGTGACAAAGGAATATATAGTAAATGTTCATCACGACTGTTAGCTGACACAACATGCAAAATAGAGATTTACTTCTCCGTGCTATCTAAGGATATTTAAATTCAAGAAATATTAATTGGGATATTTCAGTGTGAAGAATACAGTCTCCTTGCGGTAACATACAGGTTTAAAGTACATTTCAGACATGCATTTTGTAGAGTTTCTTCAGAAAAAATGATCTGATTGAAAGGAAATAATATGGTGGATATTAGTGTAAACCGCAGTGTCTGTCAAAACAGGCTTGTTGCAAATTTGCATTTTTAAACAATAAAAAAAACCACTATGCTTTGTACAAAGTTACAATGATTTTCTTTTAGAATTATGTGTGTATCTTCAACATTACATGATTACAATTAACATAAACAGTGGATAAGCTTTTAAAATTTAGAAAAAAGAAGCACAGTCTATGATTCTGGTTTGTGATTGGTTGATTCTGAGCATGTGTTTTGAATACACCAATGAGAAATTTGTGTTTTTGAGACTGGTTTTATGTCTTGGATTTATAATCTCTTACCCAGTGGCATTTTTAGTCCAAGGATTTCCAGTTTTTGATAGTTTGCAATTCAGTTGTTTTTGAAAGCTCAGCATTCTTGTCTCTCCTTTATGTTCTTAAAAACCCTCCAATTATTTGACCATATATAGCAACAATCGCTCTCAATTCGATAGTTTTATGGTGTATTTTCTCAGAAACACATGCATTTGCGCTCCTGGAAACTTTAATTCCTATTCCTGCATGATATTTGTGCACAAATATTTGCAAAGGAGGTAGAGTGGTACCATTATTTGCTGCAAAGATTAGAAACCATATTGCTTTTACCGAAATCCATATCTAGAAAAAGTTAGAACATGGAAGCATATGGCTGTTTTCCAGTGAATGCATTTTTCATTGTTTAATCGGACACCAATGTTACAATGTTGGCCTTTAGGAGATAGTTTCATTGACATTATTTGTGTCACAGATGACTAGGTTTGTTTTTTAGCTATTATATAGTTTGTTCGCTGTCTATGTATTTTGTCGTAATAGATTGAGTGTCGCATATCAGATGGCATTCTAATCCATCCTGAAGTTTTTTGTTTGACTATAAAGTTGATATGTTTTTAGCTTGCAGGAGATTGCAGAGCTTGCTGTAGAGTTGTGGCAATTCTATTGACAATGAGATCAAACACACAAACCAGTCTGCCTTATCCTGCTGACATTTGTATAATGGATTTGCCCAGCTCTGATTCTGGAACAGTCTATTAGAAGTTTAAGGGATTTCGTTCAAAACACAGAAAATTGAGCTACCTGCAGTATAGATCCTGGGCAGACTGGCTGATAATTTTGGGTTCCAGCCAGACGAGTTTTAAGGTGAGCAATAATCAACATAATGGTCTCCTTGTTTTACTTCTGTTAACACTAACCATGACAAAAAGTTTTAAAGAAAGATATTTTATATACCATTGGTACATAAAATACCTTACTTAAAAACATAATACCAGTCTTGAAGTTTGAAACACTTGAGATATACATGGAACAATGATATTTCACCATGACTGTCAGCTGAGGAAGATACTGGTAATCATAATGAGTGTAACCTCTGGCACAGGTATCATGTGTTATGTGAATTTTGGGTTTATTTTGATTTTGATGAAAGACAAGTTGAAAATCCACTGTGTATTAAAATATCACATTTACATGCATTATTTTACTCTCAATGCTTGCTTTGTAATAATTAAGCGCCATTGCTAATCTTTTTATGAGTTTACATGTCCATTGTATGCCCGATAAAATGATTATTCTTGGAATTTAACTGAATTCTTTTAATTTCAAATTTATTTCTTTTAATTTGGTGTTACTGTAGAATAGTTGTCTTGACAATGATTTTATATAATGCCCTATTTTAAAAAAAATGCATTTTATCAAAACCACCATATTTGATAGGGAAAAAGGTGTCACAGATCATTACAACAGTACTTTTATTCTCTTGGTTTACAGCTTGATTATATAGGAGTAATCAAAAAGTGTCACATTGTCCTGACCCAGTAACTGATATATATATGACCTTATTTCCTTTTGTTATAAATAGTGACGGGAAAAATAATCACTTTGGTATCAATTTTTGTGTAGCATTTCACAGTTCTTAGCAAACTGTTGTGAAGTTGGTAAAAGAATATAGACATCACATCTAGAATTGCCTGTATCTGGTGGTCTTATTTCTGATAGGTTTAAAGTTGTGGACATGATCTTACATTTCACTTGACTAGTCTACTAAGAAGAAATGGTGTAATACTCTACAAGGAGGGCATGATGTTACATTTCGCTTTGCTAAATCTTCTAGGAGCCCATGGTGTAAGGTTTTAGTTGTCTAGCCTACAAGGAGGGCATGATGTCACATTTCACTTAGCTAATCTTCTAGAAGCCCATGGTGTAAGGTATTAGTTGTCTAGTCTACAAGGAGGGCATGATGTTACATTTCACTTTGCTAAATCTTCGAGGAGCCCATGGTGTAAGGTTTTAGTTGTCTAGTCTACGAGGAGGGCATGATGTCACATTTCACTATGCTAATCTTCTAGGAGCCCATGGTGTAAGGTTTTAGTTGTCTAGTCTACAAGGAGGGCATGGGTGTTGTATTTCACATAGCTAATCTTCTAGAAGCCCGTGGTGTAAGGTTGTCTGGCATGGTGTCACATTTCACTTATGATGTCACATTTGACTAAGGTAATCTTTTAGGGGCCCAGGGTGTAAGGTTTCAGTTGTCTAGTCTATAAGGTCATGTTGTCATGTTTAGTTGTCTGGACTAGTAAAGGGACATTATGGCACATTTCACTTGTATAGACTGCTAGAATAAATTGATGTCACATTTCTACTTGCTAGAATGATGTGGTGCCATGTTTCACTTGTATACTTTGTTAAATGGACTTATGCCTCATTTCATCTAGCCTGTAAGGAAATGTCATATTTCATCTGTAGCTTTAAGCATTACTTTGGTTTTGAAAAACCTCTAGAAATGTAACTTGAAATAGGTACTTGGTTTATGCCACACGTGATTTTGGATAGTTTGATGTCTAAAGCAGTAACTCTTTAGCCTAGTACAAGTGTTGGCTTGTAACTTCTGTAACTGATATTATATAGACTGGTATAAGGTATAGCTTTGTTCAAAATTTTTCATGATTATTGCCATTTGATAAATTAAAGAAAGGCTGGTTATATCTTCTCCTTTCTTGTCTCTATAGCGATGCTGCCACTCTTGCTGCATCTTTGTCAACATTTATAGGGTTTCTGATATGATATTGAAGTATAAAATAATGCCTTGTCTTGCTCAATGAGCATGATTCATTCTCTTCTGGATGAATTATATTGTTGTTTTTTTTTCTCTGAGCATACCAGCAGTGAGTTCAGGTTTAATTCAGTAATTGTGTTATTATCATTAAGAGGGGAGGTGGGTGTCATATATAGAAGCAGTAATTGTTTACAGCTTGTCCAGTTGCATGTTACATGAGGTAATAGGTCCCTGTTGCTAAATTACTGGACATAAAGTAATTGCCGTCAACTCGTTTACCATATCTGGTTCATAACTTGTGTTGCAGCATAAAATATTCATATACCCACAAATAGGAATTTTCTGATACTCAGTAATATGAGCTAAAAGGCAAACAAATGGGCTGTTGCAACAGTATATGTCTACGCACCAAGACAATTCATTCTTCTAATTAGTTTAAATGTAGCATGTCATTTTACAGTTTTGCATGCTGCTGTTTTTTTACAGGGTCTAGTGTTGCACTTTGTGCAATTCTATGCATGTTACAATGTTAATTAGTTAATCAACAGTGATTAACTTTGTTTTCTGAAAGTATATTTGTTCTAATTAGTCTCTTTCTTCATATATTTACCATATCTGCTGTAAAAAAAAAACGAGTTTCTTTATTTGCAAATAAAAAATATTTTGATTTAAAATTACAGAAAGGGAAGACTGATTTTTTCCAAATATTTAAAGAACTGTGGCTAGATTGTGTGTTTTACATAGGGATCGAGAGAAAATGGTTGGGAGAGAAGGGGAGGATAAACATTATGTGGTTTCTTTACCTTACTAGTTACCTAAGTCAAAGTTATAGTTTTTAATAGTTTCTTTATTACCATAACTGTCCTTATTAATATCCCTGTCTTGAATTATGTCTTAAATTCATGTAAGGAGTTAATAAGCATTGGTTCAAGTAGGAATTTTTAACATATGATTGGGTAAATATACTGCGATTATATAACTTGATGTTTTATGTGTTAAAATCAAGCTGAATCTTGTGTTTTAAAATCAAGCTTTAAGCTGTGGTGGTCTTATTATTCATTGAGTTGTTTTCATCTCTTTATATCATATATATTTTATAGTGTTTGTGACTTGTTTGCACACATTTTAATTTATTACACTATATGACTTGCATGAACATATTTAAATTCTATTGTTATTGACTTGTATACATAATTAAAACAGAATGGTTTGTACTCTAGCAACAATGCCATAAATATATACCCCAATGAATGTTGTAAGAAGTAAAATTGACATTTCTATAGATGTGTGTAAGAGTTAATCGAAGTGAAGTCGGTCTCTAAGTGAAGTGCAAAACACTTTACACTTTAAAAATTCAGCTGATATGTAGGACTTAAACATTTTGTTCTCTGAAGGAAATGATGTACTAAGGTCCCATAGGTTGAAAGTCATTGAAGACTTCTTGACCTGATGCTTCATGCTGAATATGTACCAGAAAGAATTAGGCTAGAGATGTAGAAGTAACCCTGTTTTATTTTTCTGAGAAAGGTTTACTATAGGACAAATAAATACACAAAATGAAATTCATCTTCAATATGGTTACGCTGACATAGATGACATTTTCATTCATTTCTTTACATACTGCTATGACTACCAGGTCCTGTAACGATTAAAATTTGGTGAGAAGTTGAACATTACTAGGGCAGAGTGCTATAAATGAAGTGTACATTAATTGACAGAACTACAGTAAAAGTGTATAGTATGCGTTGGAACTGCACAAAAGAGATTGTCATTATGTTACCTGGATTTCAGCATGGAATTACAAATAGAAAATAGATTATTCTTGTACAGGCTATAGACAGAACATGCTACAGGCCCCCATGCTCTTTCTAAGTCAGTAACCGTCAATTTTTGTCGAGATAATTTGGAAGCCCACCAAAGCATTTTGGATATGTAGGATTTTGTGTGATTATTGTATGATGCTTGTTTGTAAACATGGCAAAGTACATGATCAAAAGAAATGAAGGTATGTGAGATATTTAGTTATCTTTCAATGCAAATATTGTCGTCTAGTACTCTATCTTCATATGTCAGGCTTTACGGCTTTCATATATTTAGATATGTTTTCTAACCTTGTACTTCGTGTAAATTTTAGTTAATCAGGCTTTATATTAGGGCAGAAAGTAATCATATTTTAAGATTTTTTAAATGTTTATTCATGAAAATATGTAAGAACTGATTCCAAATAAGAAATATAGGTCACTAAAGGCAATGTCCTTTTGTAAAATAGGTGATGTAGGTATTAAACTTTTTGACCAAATCGGGTTTTGAAATGGACAGATTGGAATAGGGTTTGTTAAGCTTGCAAGTTATTCTTTGTTTGATTTGACATTTGTTGGGTATAAAAAAACTTATTGCATTAGTATGACAATGATGATAATGAATAACTTTAGCATATTTACAGTCTGTTTTATGTTTTTATGTTAATTAATATTAATAAGGACATACAAAAATTAAAAAGAGAATCAACAAAATTGTGTTTTTTGTCCCATTGCTAATTTTAAAAAGATATTAATGATTGGATAGATTATGCAGAAATCGTAATTTATCAGTAGTTACAGAGGTATTTATTACTGTAGTTTTATGGTGTTAAGGCTCAGCCTGATAGGTACTAAATTAGGACAGTTTGGTTTGATTATTTTAATTCCAGAACATGTTCTTTCATTTATACTTAGACTCTGGCAATGTTGAGGCTCTTACAGTGACGATAGAACTTTAATGAACTTGCCTTATGCTTGAAGTATTGCATGGTACAATGTTTTGCATACGTATTGAAAAATAGTTTTAAGGGGTGGGGTAAGCTATTATTGATTATAAGTGTGTGAATGAAAAGATTTTGTTTGCCTGACAATATTTACATTATAATAATAGTCAGTGTATTCATGGCATGACCCTCTCACTAAATACTGATATTTAACCTACATATTTGTATGATATCATAATCATTAACCTTGTTTTGTTCTATATTTAGAAAGTCATGTGAGTGGACATAAACGTATGGGGTCAGATAATCATATTTAGGTCATGGGAAATGAATTACATTGGACTG